TTATTTAATTACTAAAGCACTGAGTTTGTGTCACACAGTTGTTATGGTTACAGGCTATTTAACAGGCCGGGCGTGCGCCGTGGGTACTCCGCTGAGAGGGAGACCTCCATGTTTGAGACAGGAGCGGGCGGCGGGAGGTCCGAGGCTCCAGCGAGGGGAGAGGGAGAAATATAACAAAATAAGATAAAATAGGAAAAACTTGTCTCCCTCTTTTATTTTATTTTCAGCGTTTAATCAAGGCAGAGGCGGGCGGCGGAAGGTCCGAGGCTTCCAGAGAGGGGAGAGGTAGAAACAAACAGACAATGTGTGTGTTCTGTTCAGGTGTTGTCACGTAAATAACAGTCCCCAAGCAATAAACAGGACAGACAATAGGATTTTATTTATTTTTACACTACATTTTCACTGAAAGCTGACCGAATCCGACCCGAGCCCGAATACAATTTACTATCTGAATTTCTTATTTTTCTTATTTCTTATTTTCTATCCATACATATAAACTTTAAATACATTAAAATAATAAGGCATCTTTGAGTAAACTGCGAGCATCATTTAAGTAGGCTATGTTGTGGCCAGGCTGAGTGTCCTGTTTTTTGGAAATCAAAATATGGTCACCTTAATATATCTCACATTTTTCACGTCACTATATCACCGTTTAGACTAATCTGATGTTTGTAAAGTCTATAAACACAATGATTGAACAAACATTACTATTTCTGTGTGCACGTTTTGTAATTAATAACATTATTGTAGATTAGCTGGGCTAACCGTTAGCTGTTAGCCGTTAGTCGTTAGCGGTGTCTGTAACTCAATAACTCAATAAACAGTCCGTTAAAAAAATATTTTTTCCAGCGGATGTCTTAGTTACAACATGACTGAGCTAACTGGAGTAGTTTCATGTCGTATCCGACAACCGGAGGCTTTTAACAGATGACGACCTGATGTTAGCTTTGCTGCTAGTGTTAGCTGTCCCTGTCAGCTGCAGCCACTGATGCTTTCTAGACATTGTGATTTCCCAAAACTGAATAAACACCACACATAGCAACACAAAACTGCTTTGCTACCTCAATCATGTTGTAACGGCTGGATGGTTGATGCGTACACGCTGATTCGGGTTAGCCTAACCCTAACCCTAACCCCACGCATCACTATGGCTTAATGATCAACTCAGTCAATTAAAACTACCCGTCCTGTGTTAGGAGTTTATGTCTCTGACAGAAATAAAGATAGAAAAGGTTAATAAAGATAGAAAAGCAGCTTACATCTCACATATTTATTTCTCACAGTTGTGCACACATTTGGCTGGCATGCAGAAGCACCGTCTGTGTGTCTGTGTGTCGAGGGTGCGAGCCGCAGCTTCAGCTGCTCAGGTACAGAGGCTGTGTAGCCCGGTGTGTTTTTTCGCTGATTCGGTTCTACAGGTTCTCTGCTAGTACACTGGAGACGGGGATCAAGCATACATGGAACAGCATACAGCATATATGAAACGCCATAACTAAGTGGCTGGCATAATGTACAGGAACATCTGCACTGAGAACGGGCTGGAAGGCCCAAGGTCAGAATGGAAGACACCTCCTAAGGTGGTTGAGAATGACCCAGCTAAGAGCCTTTGGGACTTCCAGATCCAGACTGACAAACTGGTAAAGGCTAACCAACCAGACATTGTGTTGATCGACAAACAGCTGGCAAAAGACCAAGGGCCTAAAGAGGAGCTAGAAAAGATGTGGGGAGTAAAGGCAACAGCGGTGCCAGTGCTAATCTGAGCACTTGGGACTGTGACCCATAAACTGAGAGAGTGGCTCCAGCAGATTCCAGGTACAACATCTGAGGTCTCTGTCCAGCAGAGTGCAGTCCTAGGTACAACTATGATACGGCACCGAACACAGAGCCTTAACATAATTACAGACGGGACTCAGGATGTAAACCCTGGTCTCTGCTGTCACAGTCCAGAACTGTGCAGTAGATTAATGTAATGCGTCCCTCAAAAACATGTTGCCTCTTAACATAAAACAAATGTAGCAGTTTGACTATCTCCCTCTTTTTATTGTCACTACCTGGTTACATCTCTCCATATATGTACACCAGTCTACCAAAGTACTCATTTTGTATTTCTGTACTATTTCATAAAAACACTGTCTTAGATTCTCATTTTTCTTCTGTGATTCTCTTTTTATAGGTTCTGTAATAGCAGTTTTGGTGGAAATCTGAGAACAAATACTACTTCACTGGAATTGTTGTTCATATGACAAATAAAGACTGAACTTTGGATCCAAAACTATTTGTGTTTACTGCTGTCAGAAGATACTATTCACCGCTGCTTACATTAAACAAGGCACTCTTGTTGTGAATAAATTTGAAATGCAAACGAGGTGCTCATTACAAACCATGAGTCAAAGAAACAATAAACACTTCATTTACAAAATAAATAATCCAATCTTAATAGGAAAGTTTTGTATTACTTCTCATCAAAAAGCATTATGTATCATCCTCTGGACACCATAACATGCAGAGCAAATTTTATTTCAACCTGTCCAGTGTCACTGTCAAAACGTCTTGCAGTGAACCAAGGTTAGACCAGTAGACTCAACTGAGTGGCTTGTTTCTTTACGCCCTCTTTACAGCTTCCGGTTGGTGAAATCACCCCTCTGAGTCCTCTCCACTTGTTCTAGGCATTTTACAACTTGCAGGAGTCTCTACACGAATCATTACAATGCCCCTCCACCACATACAGCATGTTGCCACTACTCATGGTCACAGTCAGGCCAGACTGCTTTGGGCCTGTCCTGGTTTAAATGACCTGTATCTTATCAGCACTGATGGCTTCTCACATCATCTTTGCTGCAAATACAAACTGCAGAAATATCACAAGTTACAAGCAACACAACAGGCAGTCCAACTAGCTGCTCTTGAATCAGCTTGAGGGCTGGTTATCCCAAAATACAGATAACCATCTGAGGAGTGGGAAGGGAAAATACAGGAATGTTTTATCCTCTCTCGGTGCCCAGGACTGCCTATTATTAGTATCATCCTTGGCTCATGCTATATAACTAGAATTGTATTCTTGTTAATGTGAAGAGGGCTCATAAACAGCATTAAGTCCATTGTGTAAGGAAGTGTAATTAAGTAGTTATAATAACAAATTAAACATGCCAAAAAAACTAAGTCTATTAAAAATGGTAAACTCTTTACTGATCACAAGGAACCTGCATCCAACCATCCAAGAGGAGTTGTCAGATCTACATTTCATGCTTTATTCTATAGTTAATCAATAAGATAAAGTTAATGATTAAGATATTTGGCATTAACACTGCTTCTATGCAGACTTTTTCCATTATTTTCAGATTACAAATCTAATTAATGAGCGTAATAACTTAATGTTTACTTAACTATGTTTTAACACATTATTACACACATTTAAAAAAGCACATTTTACAGGATTTCACATTTTTTGTTGCCTTATCAAAATGAAACACATTCAATCTTGTGAAATCACACCACAGAAAAGAAAAGTACTATGCTACTGTTCTCTGATATATGATAAAAATAGAGAACAACTTAGTGTGTCACTAGACAGGTTACATAAGCCTTTGTTTTGGACAGGGGTACCATTGTCCCAAGATTTTGTATTTATTTATTTATTTTCCTAAATTACGTTTTTGTGCTCATCAACTCGCTCCCATATTTCTGCCAGCACTGCATGTCTGTAAACTGATATTGTGTAATACTTACATAAGAGTGTGTGTGTGTGTGTGTGTGTGTGTTATGTGATGGGGGAGGGCTGCTCTGTCAGCTTGCATGAAGAAGTATAAACATTGGCAGCCTTGTGTTTCAACAGTGTATCAGTTTACTGTAACAGTTTACTTTCTGAATTCTGATTTCCCTTTGCTGGAGAAAGACGTGTCTGTTGGCACTCCAGTAGCATTAGCAGTCATTCACCTGGCTCTAGCTGCATTTAGTGCTGGGGCAGACTAAACCATTTTGCGCCGTTAAGGGATGAGAGGGGCCTCAGGCAGCTCCGACTGTAATTTTTTTTTTTTTTTTTTTTTTTTTTTTTTTGTTACACAGAGTCCAGTTTATATTTTTATTCAGCCAATTTTAAAAGAGCTTTTGTGTGAGCTGCTCCCTCTGACTGGAACATTCTTCAGCCAGCACAAACCTTCAGAGAACTGAACACCATTTGTCATTATACAGCTGTCAGTGTTTTTGAATAACATTTTGGGTTGGACTTATAGGATACATTTTCTGTTAAATTGTGATCCTTTTTTTAATCCAATTACATATTTTCCAATGTATTTAGTTAATTTATTTATTAATTGTTTAATTAATAAATAAATGAATGAATGATATTAAAGATTTAATTGGTAACCTGGGACGGCATGGTGGTATGGTGGTTAGCACTGTCGCCTCACAGCAAGAGGGTTACCGGTTCGATCCCGGGTGTGGGAGCCCTTCTGTGCGGAGTTTGCATGTTCTCCCCGTGTCAGCGTGGGTTCTCTCCGGGCACTCCGGCTTCCTCCCACAGTCCAAAGACATGCAGATTGGGGAATGTGAGCGTGAATGGTTGTTTGTCTCTATGTGTCAGCCCTGCGACACATGTCTGTCCAGGGTGTACCCTGCCTCTCGCCCGATGTCAGCTGGGATAGGCTCCAGCAAATTTCAATTTCATTTTGGTTCATTACAGAACTACCACAGAACTGGACTCCAAGCCTTTTTTTTCATTCACTGGTTTAAGCTCGGCAATAATAACTAATGCCCACAGCTAAGCTGTGACATTTCTCATTGCATTGATCTGACCAGTAACTGTTGTTTAAAAGTATTCCCTTCGAGTATGAACTGAGTTATCCCACAGTCATTTTATTTTTCGGATGGTTCTTTTCCTCTCATCAGATCCAATTTCGGATAGACCGGGATAAAGCAGGTCTCCCTCCCGCCCCCAACCCATGGCCGGCCATCGCTATAAAAGACAGAAACATCCACAGAGGCTGGTGGAGTCATGACGGAGAGTGGCAGGGCTCTGGAACGCATAAGGTGAGTACACGCTTAAAGATGCACAGGAGCTGGGGAGCTACGGAAAGTTGTGGGTCGGGTTGGTATTGTGACTGAGCTAAGTGATATTATGAGCCTATATGATATTGGGCAAATTGCCCTGCTAAGAAACACTTTCTGTCATAAAATTGAGACGTAATCTTATAATATCTTAATATTATATTAATATGGTAAGTGCTATATCGTAGGCAACTGGACTTGCTTGCGTTTCTTGAAGACGTTTCGCCTCTCATCCAAGAAGCTTCTTCAGTTCTAAATGACTGAGAATCTTCACCGACAAATATATGAATATGATGTGGTTTTTTTTGCATGTTTACAAACTTAGTTTTAATGGCTTGGCTTTAGGGATTTTTGGATTTGATTGTTGTGACGGGTAGTTTGTATATTGTGACTACGAATGGTAGTGGTATGGTGGCTCACATTCTTTCATTGTTTTGTTTTTGTTTGTTTGTTTGATTTTTTTTTTTTTCTGGACAATAATTTGCATTGATGCCTCAGTTTAGAACTGTGAGTGACTATTTGCACCATAATAACAATCCATCAGAACAATTAAAAATAGACGTGATGAGAAAAACAAACATAGATTACTGTGCGGTTTGAAAACTGGAAGTTGTGATACATATAAAGTATAGTTTGGTTATTTTGTCTTGTTATTTACAATCTAAAGAAGAAACAGACTTAGACTTTTGTTTCGTTTTTTGCTGTCTCAGGTCTATTCTTATGTTGATGGTATTTATTTGCTATTTATTTATATGTAGTCCTCAGGGGGAACTGCCCATTGGTCCGACAGCCCATTGGTTCGACATCCCATTGTTCAGACCATATTAAACCCATTATTCCGAAGTCCGTTCCGAAATCATCATGATGCCCTGTGGTTAAGGTCTGGTTAGGTTTAGGCACAAAAACCACTTGGTTAGGGTCAGGAAAAGATCATCGTGTGGGTAAAAATGAAAAAGAAAGTGACAAACACATAAACCGTGAGCCTGCTCCGCCTCAAGCCTTTCCCAGCTGACCCAGAGCTGGTCGCGGCGCACCATACGGCCGCCGCGAGCCGTTCAGCACCGCGGACAGTCGGACTAATGGGATGTCGAACCAATGGGCTGTCGGACCAATGACATGGACCCGTCTTCAGGTGGATATATATTTAGAAAGTTTGACCATGGGCTGCAACAGGTTGAAGCGACAGCCATGATAAAACATTGCTGTTTGAATTTATCTGTGATTTAACTTAACAAAAGGAAAAACTTTGGTGGGTTATATCATACCTCACATGATTATTTTATACTTTTGTTGACTTTAAGGTGATGCTCTTATCTGACTTTTTGGATATGACCCTGCCTTTACTGATGCCATAAAGGAATGATGCAGGTTACCTGACCACCTGCAGCTACAAGGGGAGACCAGGGATAGTTGTAACAATGGGATAGTTGTAAGAGCACCACTTTCACCAAGAAGAAATGACGTATGAGTCATAATACATTTTTATCAGATGGCCACCTCTTTCCTGATCTTGCTCCTGAAATTTCATAGTTGTGTGAAGAAGTGTGGCGATTTTACAGGCAAAACACTGATTTTCAGGTGTGAAAATAATTTCTGAGACCAAGTCTATTTTTTAATTAGTTCTGATGCTGTTGAAATTAGAATGATGTAACTTGTCAATGTATTCTATGCAACGGTTTGTATGATATGCTACGAATTTTTTTTAAAATTATTATTATTATATACGTGGGATATGTATGATTTGGTTGCATTGCTTTAAGTAAGAAAACACACAAAAAAGATTTGTGAGAACTGCCTGAACTTGTATTAGATTAGAGAGTAGTCTCTTAAGTAAAATGTAAGGTATGTTATCTTTGCTCTATTTTTTTATTTAGGCTGCTGCATTCAAATTTTTACTTAAAGTGAAGAGTGAAAAGAGGCATTATCAGCACAAAGTACATTTACTCAACTTTGCTCATGGTGGACTGTTCATTTCTTATATAAAGCTGGATAGTTTAATGAATACATCATATTTTAATTGTTATATTTTGTGAGCAAATCCTGAATCTTCAATGTAACCAGTAACATATCTCAGCAGTGTTGGGCAGTAGCGTCACTACAAGTAGCAATATTACAATTTTTTTCTGCATTTCTCAGTAGCATGGTGGTAACATCACTACTTTCTGCGTCAATAGCGTTTTTTTTTCTTTTCTTTTTTTTTAATTGGTGCAAAATTCACACAGCGGTGACTTTTCAGGTACAAAACAAGTAAACACAAATTAAACAAAAACAAAAAACAAACAAACAAAAAGGGTGTATATACACAAACACAAGGACAGAAAGAGAGAATAGGGTGACATACAGAGCTTGAGTAGGTATAAATGTACAAAACATAGCAGGATGCTGTGGATTGTGGAGCAGAAGAAGAGGTGGAGAATCTCCCTGCTGACTCCAAAAGATCTAAGTCTTCTCAGAAAGTAGATTCTCTGCTGTACCTTGCTGCATACGTGATCCACATGATGTGACCAGGAGAGAGCGCTGTCCACATACACTCCCAAATATCTAAAGTATGAGGACTGCTTTATGGATTTGTTATGAATGATGACCAGGGCTGGTGTGAACTGTGTGGATCCAAAAATGACCTCCTCTGTTTTGGTGGAGTTTAAGATGAGGGCATTCTGGCTACACCATTGGACCACTGTGTTCACACTATCAAAATAGGGGTCTGGTTTGTCTCCCTCCGTCATCAATGCCACCAGTGCTGTGTCATCCGAGAATTTGATCAGATATTGATTGGTCATGCTGATGATGCAGTCATTGGTGTAGATGATGAATAACAGTGGTGAGCTGGCACAGCCTTGCAGAGTGCCAGTACTGGTTGTGAGTGGGGGGGAGAATGTGTTGTTGATTTTGACCAACTGTTGTCTGTTAGTGAGGAAGGGTTGTACCAATGAATGAGACATGGATTTATCTCTAACTGGTGCATTTTGGTAAGCAGTAAGTCCGGTTTGATTGTGTTAAATGCTGAGGAGAAGTCAATAAACAGTACTCTGGCATAGGGTCTGCTTTTTGTTGTATCCAGATGCTTTGAGACCAGATGCGTGAGGGTGGCTACTGCATAGGCTGACCAAACATCCTCTTTTGCCCGGACATGTCCACTTTTCACGTCCCGTCCGGGGCGTCCGGGGGTTTTTTATAAACTGATGATGATAATGTCCGGTTTTCCGTGTGTTTGTGTGTGTTAGAGTGCGGGACGGGCAGCATATTTCTGTCTGAACCCGAACCGAGCCCGGCATTATTTAATGACCAAAGCACTGAGTTTGTGTCACACAGTGGTCACAGGCTATTTAACAGGCCGGGCGTGCGCCGTGGGTGCTCAGCTGCGGAGAGGGAGACCTCCATGTTTGAGACGGGAGCGGGAGGCGGGAGGTCCGACGCTTCTAGCCAGAGGAGAGGGAGAAATAAAACAAAATAAGATAAAATAGGAAAAACTGTCTCCCTCTTTTATTTTATTTTCAGTGTTTAATCAAGGCGGAGGCGGGCGGCTGGAGGTCCGAGACTTCCAGAGAGGGGAGAGGTAGAAACAAACAGCCAATGTGTGTCTGTGTGTGTGATGTTCAGGTGTCACGTAAATAACAGTGCCCAAGCAATAAACAGGACAGACAATTTTATTGTTATTTATTTTTACACTGTATTTTTACTGAAAGCTGACCGAATCCGACCCGAGCCCAAATACAATTAGCTACATTTTTGACCAAACCCGGCCCGACCTGTCGGGTACCATCGGGCTCGGATCGCCACACTCTAGTGTGTGAATGTGTCCCCTATCTATAGGGGGCCTATCTGAATTTCTGTCTTTGAGAGATATTATTTTGTAATATAACTGAATTTTCTATCCATACATATACATTTTAAATATATTAAAATTATAAGGCATCTTTGAGTAAACTGCAAGTATCATTTAAGTAGGCTATGTCGTGGCCGGCAGAGTGTCCTCTTTTTTGGAAATCAAAATATGGTCACCCTGCTACTGCATCTTCAGTACTGCGCTAGCGCTTGTAAGCAAACTGGTAGGGGTCTAATTTATCCTGAATTGACTGAGAAAGCAGATGGGAGATGATTTTTTCCAGTGATTTCAATAGTACAGAGGTAAGAGCCACAGGTCGATAGTCGTTATACTCTTTGGGACATGTTTTCTTAGGGAGTGGGATTATATGGGAGGTTTTTAAATGCATCGGCTACCTGTCCTACTGTGATTTCCACTCTGTCATCACGCTGTGTGAACACTGATTTCAGCACATCACTGCAACTCTCTACAGTCCCAGAGGTCTCAAACCTGGTGAAAAAAGTGTTCAGCTCTATAGCAGAGGCCGCCTCATTGGTTGTTGCCATTAGCTTGTGTTGTTTGATGGGCATACCTGCCATGGTTTTCGTAGTTTCCCACATTTCCCTGGGGTTGTCTGCCTTAAAATACTCCTCTAGATGTCTCCTGTGAGTGACCTTTGCCCTCCTGATTTTGTGTCTCACCTCCTTGCCCCTCTTTAGCAGGTCCAATTTGTCCTTATTTTTGAAGTCTATTTTCCTCTGATTCATTTCTTGTTTAATGTCTTTGGTTATGTAAGATTTGTTGTTGGGGTACACTTTGATTGTTTTTGTTGGGATGATAGACTCAACACAGAAGTTGATGTTGTCTGTTGTGACTGAGCATGCTGAGTCCAATGTGCTCTCCCTCAGCTCCTTTCAGTCAGTGCAGTCAAATCAGGCTCCCAGTGCCTCTTTGTTGTCCTGTGTCCAGTGCCTTACCACCTTATTCAGAGGTTTACTGCTTTTTATTTTGGTCCGGTAGGTGGGGATGAGATTCTTCACATTGTGGTCAGAGTTTGAGATAGGTGGTTTGTTTCTGGATTGGTAGGCATTACTGATGTTTATGTAACATTTGTCCAGTATATCATTCTTGCTCGTTCCACATTTTACAACCTGTTGAAAACCTGGTAAGGTCTTCT